CAGGAGGCTCACAGAGAGGCCAAGATATGATCCATGCCCTGGAGGGGATTACAGAGAGACAAGAGGGAAGGAACTGGACTTGACACTGAGAGGTGGGGTGGGGGCCATTTTCCAGAAAATAAAGAATGGGGCACAAACATGTATGTAAGCAAATGAAAATAATAAATGTATTTGTGAATGAACAACAGCAACAACAAAAAGGTAAAGAAAGGAAGGAAGGAAGAAAGAAAGTCACAAAAATGCTTTCATTTGTTTGGTAATGTTTTTCTTTTATTCTCTGAATTTTATGCAATATTAATACAACCACGGGAAGAAATTTTATTCTCAGCCACTGCTGAAGTGGACAGAGAAGAGGAAAGAATGAGGAGGGACGAGGGGACCGTTGACATTTGGATTATATTACATTTAAAAATAGCTTTATTTTTCAGTAGTATAGAGAAACCCATATTTGGTGACATGAGTAGATTTTCAGGACAAATTTAGCATGCTACCATCTGCAAATAACTTTTAATCCGTTAGTTGCATCAGTATTTTTGCAACCAGTAAAGTGGTGCTGATTTATGTCTGCTTTTAAAGAAACCATTTACAGAAATGTTGTTTCCACTCATTGAAACTGCAAGCTTGAGAAGTTTTAGATTCACCAAAAGCTATTTTCTGAGGGTGGTTAGATTCTAAATGTAACTCTTGCGTACAAATACAGAAATGTCATTCCAAGTCACAAAATAAAGCCAACCGGTCAAAGACCACATTCAAATGAAGCTTTTAGTAGATGTTTCAGTAAGTGAAAAAATTCACTTCTTTGCTCGGCAACTATTGATTGAGTGCAGCTGGTCTGGGAAACACCCACTCCGGATTTTGAGACTTCACCTCTCTGTCCCCAGGAGAGTTTAGGGAGGGTACATTGTCACCAGCTCAGGAAAGTAAGCTGTAGAGGGCATTCTTGCCATGGGTGAGCACTTTCTTTAATTGGATGACCATCAGACTTCTGTGTTCCTCTACAATGGCAGGTGACGCTCACCCATTCTTTAGCAGGCTTCCTTTACAGCCAGTTGAAAAAGAAACATGTATTTCTTGACGGTTTTATTCTTCTCCCTGCATTTCTCCCTAGAGGCGTAATGCAGGCGTGTCAGGCAGGTTTACCAGGGCCAAAGTGAAGCATTCGGTCTCTCAGCAGCAGTGTATACCTGTGACGTCACTGTACCTTGGTTATTCCAGAGTTCTTCGTCTTTACCTTCTACCCGGATGAAAACATTAGCAATTTTTACCTATCTCAGAAAAAAAAAAAAAACAAACCTATGAATTATGTTTGGCATCCACTGATATTGATGGGGACTGGTGGCCTTCTGGGAATGATTCCAAATTGTATCCACACTTGGGGGTTCAAACACACAGGAATGGGGCGGAGAAGCCAACAGACACTTAATTGCAAGGGGGATGAATATTTGAGAACCTGGAAGAAAACTCACCACAGAGAAAGGAAGACCAGCCGTGGTGAAACTGACTCAGCAATGGGCTTGAGTATTGAAGGGGACCAGCATTTCATTAGTCACAGTGTTTGGTTGTGAGTTGGACCTGTGGGAGCCCAGTCCCCCGGAAGTGTCTATGCAGCTTGAAGAAGAAGGGGCTGTGTGTGTCTAACTCCTGGGGACCCAGATGGTTCTAATAGCATATACCACCGGGTGGGAGACAGGTGAGCTCTGGCACCTGGGAGGGGCAGTTGAGAGCACTGGGCTGTGGTCAGCAGCCCATCGGGTTGAAGATGAGTGGCAGGGCGTGGGGTGTGACAGCGGAGGATGGTAAGAGTGGTGTTGAGCTCCTGGGGCGGGTACCTAAGGTGTAAGCACTGAGTTTTAATTTGCATCCCCACATTCCCAGAGAGATACAGCAACTTCTCAAGTTTGGCTGTCATTCCACCTTCCTTTTTAGAAATTGGAATTTTCATATCCTTTTACTGTTGAGCTTGATTTTTTTTGTTGATAATTAAGAATTCTTTTATAAATTCTGGTGACTAATCCACTGTCAGCTTGATCTATTGTAAATATTGTAAATCTCTTTTGTCTGTAATGTCTTGTCATGAAGGAAGTTTTAGTTTAAAGATTGCTAATTTTATCAGTCTTTCACATTCTATCTGCATGTCTTTTTATGTCTTATTTAAGACATTCTTCCCAGGCCTGAGGGCATAAATGTTAGCCTATGTTTTCTCAAAATATTTTCAGAAACATGAATTCTTTTGTCATCAGTTATTATTGTCCATCATTATGATTTTTTCATCTGTGGTAATGAATGTAGCAATGGTTCATTCATGTTTTCTGATCCATGGTGTTACCTTGTATGAATACATCGTGATTTTTTTTTTAATCTACTGTGTGTACACTTCATTTGCTTTCCTTTTTTGACTATTACAAATAACACTGCAAAGAGCATTCTTGTAGTGTCTTTTGGGGCATATGAGGAAATTTTTGAGGGCGAAGTTGCTAGATCATAGGTTAAGCACATCTTAAACTTTACTAAAGGAAAATTGTTTTTTGAATTGGTTGTATCAAGTTACACTCTCTCCGTGAGTGTGGAAGCATTGACCTGACCTTATGATATTGCCAACACTTATCTCTTATTTCCTGCCTTCTACTTTAGATTTACTGTTTTTCTTTCTCAAATGTCTTGGTACTTTGTTGATTGAATTTCAGTCTTCTTTTATCATATATAAGCTATAAAATGTTGCTGTACTGCTCTAGCTGCATGCTGCATGGTTTTTAAATGAATTTTTTTTACATAACCTCCAACTTACAGGAAAGTTTCAAGTAAAGTACAAAAAATTGGTCCTTTTGACTAAAGTACAAAAAAATTGGCATTTTTTTTTTTTTCGAGGCAAGTACAAAAATGTTTCAGAGACCAAGCCGGGTTAGAAGGTCTGTCTGCTTGGGGGTGGGGGGAGGCAGCAGTGATAGAGACTGTTTTCAAGGGGGATGCACCAAATGTGTCACCCTATTAGGGATCACGGTAGCCAAGTTTCTCACTGTTGGAGAAGAAAGTTGTACCTATGGAGAGGAGAAAACTGCCCGAACCCTTGATGTCGGATTGGAATTGGAGGCATTAGTGTGAGGTCTGTGGGTGTCCTTCTCACGCGGTTTGGACTCTGGCATTTCCCATCAAGGCACCCCCGTAGGCTGGTGGATGCTGTCCTCACCAGCTTTGGGCTTCAGCACCCCACACCAGGCTGCTTCCTTATGCAGATGCCCTTTTCTCCCAGCTGAGGCTCTGACTCCCCATGCAAGCCTCCCCACAGCATGGACATTCTCCTCACTCCTCTTAGGCTGTGACTCCCATTCCAGGTCGCCTCTCAGTGGGTACCTATCAGTTACCTATCAGCTACCTGACTCTGTCTACCTAACAGCTTAGTACTGAATGGCTCAGGAAGGAAAGGGAAGGAGAAAGGCATCCCATAAGTGTTGATACATAACATTTTCAGTGTCATTCAGTTCGAAATAACTTCTAATTTCCAATTTCAGTTTTTCTGTAACCCATGAGTTAACCGGAAGTGTGTTTTAAATTTTCCAGAAATGTACACTATTATATTTGTTTTCTTTTGGTTCTTGATTTCTGTCTTATTAACTGCACTGCATTCAGAGCATATGGTTTATATGATGCCGATTCTAGTTTTTATTATGATTTGCTTTGTGCCTGGTAAATAATTAATTTTCACAAATGTGTTATGCTTTCTTGAAAAGTATTTCTAAGTGTTGGGTACATGTAGAAATGTATGGTTCTATACATGTTCATAGATTAAACTTAATTGGATTACTCAAATATTCTGTCCTTCCTAACTTTTTGTCTGCTTGACATATCAGTTACTGAGAGAAGTGTAATAAAAATCTACCATTATGATTGAGGGCTTATACATTTTTCTCTGTAACTCTTACTTTTTCTTTTATAAATTTGGATACTAAACTTACTATGTTATTGCAATTGTTATAGCTTCCTGGTGAATTACTCCTTTTATAATCATGTAGCTATTGATAGTCACAATAATTATTTTTCCCTTAAAGTTTAACTTAACCATAGCAGCTTTGGGGTTGTATTTCTTGGTGTATCATTTTCAGCCTTACTTTTAGCCTTTCTCTTTCATGTGTTGATTGTTTCTCTTGTAAGTATTACATATAAGATTGTAGATTTATAAATTTCTCCTTGCAATTTTATTACTTCTTGATTTGTGCATATTTTTTAACCAAATTGGCAAACTTTTAAATGTTTAGACTTTTACTGTCTGTAATAATTGCTGATAGTTATTATTTTTGCCATCCTACTGTTTGTTTTCTATTTATCTTGCATTTCCTATGCATCTTTTGCCCCTTTTCTGATTTTCTCTTGTCTTCACCTAGTTTTTAAAAATTTCCCTCTACATCAGAAACACTTAGTGAATGCTGGCTAGTACTATTTCATTTGGTCATCCAGAAAACGCTGTGCTATATATTGTTAGGCATGGGTATATATTTGGAAATCCTGGTTTCTTTTTATTTTAGCATTCTGTTTCTGCATACTCAGAAAACTGGCTTCCTCAGGGCCTACCAGAGCAATTACAACTGAAAACATACGACTTTGTGGCTTACATTTCCCCCCACCAAATGTATATCATGACAATTTTTCTCATGTCCGTGCGTTGTAATGTCTATGTAATAGTTTATTGTTGGCCATAAATTTGTTTCCAATTGCTTTGGTATTACGAGTAATGCCACAGTGAACATCTTTGTGCACATTTATAATTCCTCCCTTGGGATAAATTCTTTGAAGCCGCTGATCAGAAGGAAGAACCATTTTAAAGGCCTTGCCAGGTGTTGCCAAGTTGCTCCCGAAATGTCACACTCCTCTGTGTGGACATTTTCCAGCAGTGTAAGAATGCCCAGAGAACATTCCAACAATTCGCTTCTCAAGGTCACATTAACCCCAGGCAGGTCTGGGAGAGAGGGGCAGGGAATCGAGCTCTGGTGGGCGTGGCTTGGGTGAGAACCTGAGGGACCTTCTTCCGGCTGCCACCTGCCGGGCCCCGGCCTTGGTGGGCTCCGCAGAGACTCCCCATGGCAGCAGGACCAGGTCACTCAGGTATCTCAGGTGTGCAAGCCCCCTCACTCCTGAGGACCACGGGAGGCTGGGCGCTGGGGCCGGGAGGGAGGACCCCCTACCCCCGCCGGGCAGTCCGTTGGGCCCCTTCAGGTGAGGAAGAGCCGCCCGGTGGGCCCTGTTGGCCCTGGCGCCGGCTCGCGGGGCGAGCAAGCTTGTGCAGAGATCGCGGCCTTGACTCGGTGGACCATTTGGCTCCCTCGGACGTCCGGGCGCCTCTCTCCGCTGCGGAGCTCCTCTCCGCGAGAGAGGGGGAGCTCCAGAGCCCGGGGCTAAGCCCGCCGCCCGCCGCCCGCCGCGCCGCGCTGCCAAGACCCGGAGGCCGCAGGAATCCGCGGGCAGCGGCCAGGCCGGGGCCAGGAGGGGCGCGGGGGACTCGCCGTCCTGCCGCCCGCCCGCTGCACAAAGCCCGCCCGTGTTCGGCGGCCTCGGATGCGTGCCCTGGGCCCAGACCTCCCGGGGTCCCCTCCGTCCCGCGCGCGGGGCCCGGCGTCCCGAGAGCGCCGGGAAGGGGACGTGCCGCCTGCCGCGGACGCCGGCCCGGGGGTAGGGGTGGGGGGTGCGCTCTGCCAGGGCTCCTGGGGCCCTGCCCGGGGCTCTGTGCGGCCCTGGCCCGCCGGGCCCAGACCGCGTGGCCCCCAGCCAGTGGGTTTCTCGAGCTGCGGGTCATGGGCACCCGCCATCTACGGAGGCAGTGAAGGTGCCCTTGTCACGGTCACCCCCGCGGTGAGCGTGGATGGGGGTGCTGGGTGGGGGTGGGGCAGAGGAGGACCTGGGCACCGAGCTGTTTTGACTTATGTTTCACTCTGAGCCTTCCTTGGCCAGACTCCTCCTCAGAGGTGGATCTGCCCGCACACCCGTGCCCACCTGCCCTCTCCTCCAATACATGCTCGTTGCCCACCTCCCACCGTACCCCAGGAGGAGTGGCTGCCAAATGGCAAATGGCCGCCAGGCACCTCCGAGCTGCAGGCCCCCTGACCCTGCATGGCATTCCTTACACTTGCACAGCTCCTGATGATGGGCAGCCATCCCCCCTCCACTCACTGCTCTCACTTAGCCTCCGTTTATTGGGCGCCTGCTGTGTACCAGGCACTGTTCCAAATGCTGGGAATACATCAGAGAACAAGGCAGACCCAGTGTCTGCCCTCAGGGGTCCCGTGGCCTGACTCCAAAACCTGTTCCTTCACTGTGATTACATTGACTTTGGCAGATCACTCCTGGCTGGCCCCAGCTCTCCCTGCCTCCAGATTCAACATGACGGGTACATGGGACGGACTGCCAGCCCTGGACCGTTCTTTGCTAAGGATCCCCTTATCAGAGACTGGCAAAGAGAACTGCAGAGGGGAAAGAAAAAAAAAAAGAAAGAAAGAAATCCAGGGGAAGTGAGAAGAAACATGTGTGAAACCTAGGCTCTCGCCCTGGACCAGCATTAAATAAACCAGGGCCTGGTTGAAAAGGAGGACAGAGCTGCTATTTCTCACTGAGTCCTATTATTTTACTCAGCAAATTCGAGCAAGATTTCACGTTCACATCCAGGGGCAGCAAAGAAGAAAGCCATGATCCTCAATGGCAAGGCTGCCCCTGTTTGCTGTATAGGCTGAGGGTAGAGAGCTGGGGGGAGTGGAGTTGGCCTGATCTGAACACAAGGCCACAGGCTGATTCATCATGTCTATAAACTCTCCGTTCTCACTTTATTCCCTGGTACCAGCTCTGTTCTCATCTCTCTCCTGCTCCCAAACCTTCGATGGCTCCCCATGACCACTGAATTAAGTATAAAGATGTCCCTCTCCTCCGATACATGCTCATTGCCACAACCGCAGCATGGCCTCCAATCTTTCGTGCCCTTTCTCATGACATTTCACGCCCCTAGCTCCAGCCAAAGAGAACAACCTCTTGCTGCCGGTGTACCCCTCTGTCTTTGCACTTGATACTCATGGTAGCTGATACATGCTCAGCACTCACGATATGCTAGGTCCCATGCTTTCCATATCCCAATCCTACAAGCTAGGAAGTATTGGTACCTGTCTTTTAGCAGGTGAGGAAACTGACACTTGGAGTAGTTTCTGGCTTGCCCAAGGTCACCTGGTAAATGGGAATTCAAACTCAGGTCTCCTGATCCCCAGAACCTAAACCCTTGACTAGTACATAGACCTGTTTGGGGATCATGGTGCTGTGTCCTGTATGGTCTCTAGTAAATGACCTCATGAAAATGCTAGACGTTTAAGGTAAGATACTGAAAGTAAGACATGACACTTGTTGACTTGTACCTCCCAGGAGACCCCAGAGTGTCTCCTGTTAGATCTTTCTTTCTTCCCCCAACACACACTCACACCCCACATCCTCCCACCTGGCTCCATCGTGCCTTACCTTCTCCACTAGCCACCCCAAAACTAACTCAATGGGGCACAAGTGTCTGGACCATTGACCCACAGCACCTGTCCTTCCCAAGCGTGCCAGTCTGCAAGGGGAGTTGTGCTATAGTTGAGTGGGCTGTCTGGGATCCTCACACTGGTTGGTCAGTACTTCCATTACAATTTAAGATAACTGAGCACCCTGGTCCCCTGCCACGGCAGAGGGAGACAGGGAAAGTGAGAACGTGGTGGTCCAGGTTCTGTGGCCATAGGAAGGAGCCTCTAACTTTTGGTCCAGAGGAAAGGACGGGAATGTTGTGGTCTTCTGTGCTTTCCAAGGTCCCAGGAAGCGCAGAGAGTGCCGAATGGGAAGTGCAGGAGAGCAGACTAAGCTGTGAGCTGGTGGAAGGCATCTGCGACAGCCCTTTCCTGGGCTTTGCCCACTGCCCGTTAAGCCCAAAGGTCAAGTGAGGCAGTTGAGAAAAAAATCCTCACTGTGAAGCGTCTGAGGCCCTTCTGAGATGAGAGAATGGCCCCCTTTCAGCAGCCCCGCTTGGAGCCAGGACAGTATTCCCAGAGGGAGCAGGCCGGTGAATGGTCATCTGTCTGCCCAGATGGACCAAGGCCTGGCCTGGAAGGGAGGAGACTCCAATTCTGGTTTCTGTTTGCAAATTCAGGGGCTCAGGAGTACTTCAATAAATAAACACCTATTTATTGAGCTCCTACTGTGTGCACAGCACTGTGAGGGACACAAAGAAGCACTGATTTGAAAAACCACAGATCAGAATTTCTCCATGCAAATGAGTTCGCTCCCCCGGGGAAGTGGGGTTACTCACATGTCCAGTGAGGCTGGCACTCTTTGAGGAACTACTCCCAGCCCCTTCTCCAAACTATCTTGAATTTTCTCAGTGGAGATGGTTGATGTTTTAAAATTAAAAACAGCTAGTTAGTCCTTTGGAGCTCATTCATCCATTGTCTGCTATGAGCTGGGCATTGTTCTTGTTGCTTGGGGAGGAGAATATCCTGAAAGTGTTCGTGGTTCAAAGTTTGCGAGGGGTGGTTAGCAGGTTGGCTGGTCATCCTGCTAAGAGCCACTCCCTCCCCCGCCCTGGAGCCCGCCTGGTCTGGGAATGACCCCAGCCCTCAGAGAGCCTAACTTATGCCTGGTATAAGGTGGCAGATAATGCCAACGCCCAGGGGTTAAATGACAATGACAGGCAGCCTGGGGTGCTGGGGGAGCAGAGAGGAGGGAGCCCTAACCACACATGGAAGGGATGGGGAGCCCTCCAGGGCTTTTCTGGGAAGGATGGTAATTGTCAGCATTCACTGAGCACCCTTTATGCACTAGACAAGGTGCTGAGCACTTTACATGCATCGATTACCTTGTTTTGTCCTCACAGCCCCTTCCAGGGAGATACGATAGGATTCCCTCGTCCACAGTTTACATATGAGGAAACTGAGGCACCAAGACTTTAACTTGTCCGAGATCCCACAGCAGGGGAGTAGATGCAAACCCACTGGGTCTGATACTTGAGTCTACCTGTTTAACTTCCACACTGTGCAGCTTCCAGGGAGAAGGGGAGAAGGCATGTGGCTAACCAGTACCGGAGAGCTAAATTTCAAATTTTTTTTTTTTTTTTGGCACTGAAGACAGCTCTTAAGGAAGATTTGTGAGCCATGACAGTGTCACTGGATGCAGCGCTTGGCCTCCCGATGGGGAACGTCTCAAATGTTGGAGGAACATGGGCTTTGGGAGGCAGACCGCCTTGGGTTCGCACTCTGGCTCTCCCACTTTTTGCCAAGAGACCTGAGACACCGACCTCTGAACATTGGTTTCCTCATCTGTAAAGTGGAGCTACTGATACCAATTTGGCAGTGTTCTCAGGAGGACTCAAAAGGATCATTTACAGAAATATTTAGCAGAATAGCCGCTCCATGAATGCCACTCCTCCTTTCTGTCTCTGAAGTCAAGAAGAACGACTCACAGGTGCAGGCTGCTGGGATTAAAACTCTCATAACCATCGTGGGCCTGTTAGAAAATGCAGAAGACAAGTGGCCAGATCAGAAGCTGGCTCGAGAACCAGAGGAATTGGCCGCGTTCAGTCCTAGAGAAAGGACCGAAGGAGTAAGGGGAGAGGCCCATTATTTCCATTTTTGTGGCTGTTCTGGAATTTGCTGACTCCCCAGGTTCCGTAGAATCAGCTTGCTGTCTTCACTCCAGCATCGATGATGGTGATACGACACAGCCCTCACGTCGACCCCTTTGCTGGGCAGGATGTGTTCCCAGGCATGGCCTCAGCAAAATCATGGTCTCAGGCCAGCATTTCCGTGGCGCCATGTGCTGTGCTGAGATGGTAGCCCCGCCTTCCCAGAGTGAGCGCCACGTAACTAACGAGTGGAGTCAGAACTGGAAACCAAGTGGGCGCCTGGGTGGCTCAGTTGTTGAGCAGCTGCCTTCGGCTCAGGTCATGGTCCCAGGGTCCTGGGATCGAGTCCCGCATCGGGCTCCCTGCTCAGCGGGAAGCCTGCTTCTCCCTCTGCCTCTCCCCCTGCTCATGCTCTCTCTCTCTCTGTCAAATAAATAAATAAAATCTTTAAAAAAAAAAAAAAAAACTGGAAACCAAGTGCCCCCCACACACCCTGAGACAAGTCCTTGGGAGCGGGTGGTTTATTTGATAGGTTATCCTAGCAAGGGAGTGGGCAAAGTGAGACAGGGAAAGCCCATACAGAGTACATTAATGGGCAGGTGACAGAATGGGCAACTGAGGCTCCATGTCACTGGGGGCCATCTGAGAAATCATATGGAACATGCCTCTGACTTGTGCACCAATCCAACAGCTCCTGTCCCCGCAGACTGAGGGTTGCCCTTGACAGAGAGCGAGCGCTGGTCTGGGAGGAATCTTGCAGGCAGACAGGAAGACAGAAGAGACAGGTGCTGAGGGTGGGTCTTGCCTCTCTGGGCCTCGATTCCTCAGATGAAAACCTGCCTTGCAGAGCCATGAGGATCAAATAAGGTGATGCGCAGAAAGCGTTCAGGACATCCCTGGTACATTTCAGATCTGGCCGTATGGAGCTGCCAACGCTCAACCGGTCTGGGCCCACAGAAGTGGAAATTTCATCTCATTCAAACTGAACTGTGTGAGTGCCAAGAGATATTAACACTTACTATTATCACGTATAATCTTAGTCTTCATGTTTCACACACCCAAAAGGAGGCAGCTGGGACCGCTAACATCCCCCCAGTCCTAGAATCGGGATCTCTGGTGTTTTTCTCTCCTTCGAGGTAAGGGAAGGGCTCACAGCCTCCGTGAGTCAGCAAGGGTCCCACTCAGAAGGACTGACTCAGGGTCCTGCCCCTCCCCTCTCATGACTGGCCTCCTTCATGCCTCATTCTGGGTGGGGTGTGGAATGCTTTGCTCACCGGAGTCCAAATGCCACGTCCTGCCGAGCTCAGGAGGAATTTCACATTCTCTGTACAAACCCAGGCTGTGGAGGGATCTGACCCCTGGCCTCTCCCTGAGGGCTGCTTCCCCCCTGCTTACTGACTCCCCTGAGCTCTTGGAGGGGAGGAGGTATGGTAGCCATCACCATGTTCACGCTGGTCTCCACGGCTCCCTGTCTCATCAGCTCCTGGACGTTTACACATCTGATTCTGGGCAGTTTTCTTGGCCTGGGAAGGGACAAAAGTGGCCTGAGATCCTGAGGACACAGCTGAGGAAGCACCGGTAGATTTTGCCTCTTGCCTTCCTTCTTCCCCAACAAACCAAAACTGTCTGAACACACCATAAACAAAGTCAAAAGACAAATGACCCACTTCCGGGGGAAGGGGGAGTGGATATTTTCAGTCTGTATCACAGGTAAAGCGTTGACATCTAAATCGCTTTTTGAACTGAGAAGGAAAGGAGCAGAAACGTAATAGAAAAATCGGTGAGCAACATGAGCAGACAGTTCACAGAAAAAAGAAAGGCAAATGGCTCGAACATAGAAAACTGCGTTTGGTCTCACAATTAGAGAAATGCATATTAACACTTCATCGAACCATCATTTCTCACTTATTAAATTGGCAAAAATCCCAAAGTGTGACAGTTCACCGTGAGACTGTGCTGTGGGAGGGC